GGTGATTTTTCCTCCAAATAGTACCACTAAATTATGTTCATGGCCAGAGCCCGTATGTTCCCCATTGGCTCTAAACCCTTGAGTAATGAATCAATATGGTATAATTAATAGGGCACGAAGCCCTTTGTTAGTTAAGGTGGACTCAAATTTTTTCCCTTTGTCAAACATTCACCCAAAGTCTATAAGGTACCATTGAACGACGCAACCCATGATTGCTGACAAAGATCCTTCGGTCAGGTTTGGTCGACTACCTCCTCTGACTAAGATTAGGAAGCATGATGACCCGGGATGATAGAACCATGAGATCTTGATCGGATTCATCGTCATTCCCCCTACCCTACACTTTAAGTGCACGTTGATAAATTTCAATTTTCAATATTTAGTTCTGCTGCTACTATATGATGGATACTACGTATCTGTTAAATGACTATCATTAATCGAAAGTTCTCTCTGGTTATCGGGAGGGGTATTAACTATAGGGGCTTGCGCCTTACGCCTATAGGAAACTTGAACTCATATAATAAAGTCATCGCAAAATGAGGGAGAAATCTTTCTTATTTAAAACCAATATGCCTTCTGAGAATGTTCCCCGGAACCTAAACTCGTTAAAACTCACCTCGCTCACAAAAGGAAAGGGTCGCGGAGAGGTTGTGGCGCAAATTTTCGGACACAAGGGTACATGATCTATATTTCTTTTTATGGTTCAATTCTTGAATAATCTCAAATGGTGTCTTATTCTTTGCTAAGGATTATAATGATTTGGTTGAATTATAAGTTGAAGTGGTTGAAACTAGAGAAGGTTTATGTAGGTAAGTGCATGTGTTGGGTAGGATCACAAATGGTTCAACTAAATTTAGAGACACATATAGATTCTCAGTACTCAGTTGAATAACTATTAGAAGTTGACACCTAGCCTTAGGACCTTGGCTATAAATGGCTTTGGATCCAATTTAGGTAGGGCTGCAAATGAACCGAGCGTTCGACGAGCTACTCGTGGCTCGGCTCGTTAAGTGCTCGTTCATGTTCGTTTGATAAGGTAAACAAACGAGCTTGAATATTCTTGATCAATACTCGATAGCTAAATGAACGAGCTTAAACAACGTGTCGTTCAGTTCATTTATGTTCATTAACAATATCGCTTAGAAGCTCGTGAACAAGCTCGATTAGAGCTCGACTAAGAAGCTCAATTAGAGTTTTAAAAATAAATACTATTAAATCTACTCATTTAATAATTATTTTTACTAATTTGATATTCTAAACTTTATCCTTTTTCATTAGACATATTTTTAACTTATATTTTTACTAATCTAACTAATTAGAAATATTTTTATTAAATCTTCTACTAAAATTTTTATTAAACTAGCCGGACCTGCCTCAATTTATAATTTTTTTATTAAACTCCCGCCTCAATTCTCAATTCCCGATTAGAAAAAAAAATTTGTTTTTAAACTCCCGCCGGACCCGCCCGCCCTTTCTCTCTCCTCGGCTTCAACAAACTCAAAAAAAAAAAAAATTGTGGACTTTTAGTCCCACACCGGCTTGAAGGAAATAATTTTGCTATAAAAAAACAAAGACATCTAAAAGCCAATTGCTGAATTGCGGGCAGCTGGCGGGTTATCCTTGGCAGGACGGTAGACTTGCTGCTCGGTTTGATTTTAATTAAAAATTTTTTTTGTGAATTATGGTTGGCTTGTTATAAATGAGCCGCTCGATAAGAGGCTCGCCAAGCATGAAATTAAACAAGCTCAAATTTGAACACGATCTGAGCTCGAACATAGTCATTTTAAACGAGCACGTGCTCGAACACCTGTCTAAGAAGCTTGACGAGCTTCCAGCCGAGCTTGATCACGGTTTTGACAAACGAGCTTGAACTCGAACATGCCGAAGCTCGGCTCGGATCGGTTCGTTTGCAGCCCAAAATTTAGACTTATGTGGTCGCCTAGAGGACTTGATGAGTTTCAGACAAATAGAGATGCCATTGAACTTGAATGAGCTTCAGACAAATGGAGGTGCCATTGAACTTGAAGAAGTAAGTGTCGACCTGTGTATGATGTATAAATTCATGCAGGACGTCCTATGAGTCATGGGCATGACATCTCAGTTGATGTTTTATTTATAATTAGTTGAGTAGATATGAATTAAATGATAATAATTATAGAGAAGGATGGTTAGTTCACCCAGGCTAAATGAAAAGAGTTAGATGTTGCTCAGGTGTCAAATTGACTCTGGTTACTTGTTTAGAGAAAATTCATATTACTTGCTTCTGGGTTAATTCTTCTGTGGCATAAAGTTAAATGGACTCTTTTCAAGCAACAAGTATTAGAGCCAATTACAATAACCAAGAAGTTTAAGATCAAGAAATTTGAGGGCTCAAAGAGTTTTGGGCTTTAAAAAATCAAGATATGTCGTTTTTCAGTCCAACATAGACTTGTAAAGGCCCTGAAGTGATGAATGAAGAAGACAATAAAGAGATGGTTATAAGGCCCTCTCAGCAATTCAATTGTGTTTGACAAAAATGGTCTTATAAAAAACAACCGTGAAAGATGTGGGTCCAATTTGGAGACTTTGTACATGACCAGAAGCGGCTCCAACAAAGGAGAGACTACTTTCTTTGCATGCAACGGCTATTAAATCCTTTATGAATAAATTTTATTTCATCATTTGAGATTCGAGAAATCTTTATGTGATTGTTGATACCAAATATTAAGCTTTGTTTGTATTATACTCTTTGCCTCCTTATAAGTACTTTTTAGACCAACCCCATTCTACATGGATGTCATACAAAAAGCTTAGTAGTTGTTAAGAATTCAATTATTTTAAGCAAGATTGTTGGTAAGCTCGACTGAAATGATAAACCAACTGAAGGTGAGCATGATTACCTTCTAATCATGACCAAAACAAGCTCATAACAAGTTGAAATATAGTCCTTGCTTTTATTATAAGAAGACAAAGATGAATTGTCATGCTTTTTTAAGCAGGAGCCATGTGCAAAGGATAACATCAAGAGAAATTAGTATTTGCAAGTGTTATTGCCGATTAGTTAGGATTAATACTAGTGATGCCCTTTCGGTGACTGATGAATAGGTGCAAAAAATAGTGGATTATGGACTTAGAATTTCTTCTATTTTGGAGATGCTTTCCATGTATTAGCCAAAGTTATGGATGCTTGACACCGAGAAGAAAATACTAAAAAAATAGAAAAAAAGAAGAAAATATTAAAGACTAGTAATCAAAGAAATTAGAAACAAAGAGATCCTAACTTCCTAAAATTTTGTTCAAATACAACAAGAATTCCTTACAACCAAATGTCTAAGTCTTTAACCCAACTAATGAACCCAAATTGGAAAAATAGGAGACTGAAGTAAACATAACAAGAAATAGAATAAACAGAAATAGCAATATTCAAATGGCTAGCTGCATTATCATTAGGACTTTTCCTAAGGCATGTGCTGGACAACAGTGATTGGCCCTTCCACAAAAGAAGATATGGCAACTTTTCCACAGCTGAGGGCTGTTTGGGTTCCTACAGAAACGTGTGCTGGGACCTCACGTTTTTTTTTTTTTTTTTTTGAAAATTGACTTCTGGCCTTGAAGAAATCCCTACCTGCAGGAATTGACAAGAAAATTGAAGTAGATAGCTGTTTCTGATAATGAAAGATAGCTGCAATGGAATATAAAGACTACAGAGAACCTGTTTAAAGCTTCTTGCCGCTGGTTTAATCATTTCTTAAACGAGATTTGGTTGTCTGATAGCTGAAGGTGCTTTTCTTGTAGGCGGCAAGACAAGACGGAACAATTTTTTCCTGTTCTTGGACCAAATTTTCCATGGTGGATGCAATTTGGCGATTACAAGATCACGCCTAGGCTGCGAGGCTTGCTTGTGATCTTCCTGCTGTTGCCAGTGAGTCCGCAAATGCAGAAATAGGGGCTAGACAACACCCTATGGTGTGCTGGAATGAATTGGCACGGTAAAGACCCGCTGTTGTTGCTCTGAAACAAATTGAAAGATCATGAAGAAGCTTCGATTGTGATGTTGGCAGAATCCCAGGTCCTAATATACTTCCTTCCTCTCCTCTCAAGATTTAGGGGGAAATCTACCCCAATGAATGGGATCTGTTAGACCGGCTCACACTGAAGGCCATGACCACCATACCGGTTCTGACTCTACCATATTTCAGTCAGGTTTTTGTAGTGGAGATAGACGCATTAGTGTATGGATTGAATGCAATACTCATGCAGAGGCACCGACCAATTGCTTACAGTTAGGCGTTGACAACCCGAGCTAGGCTGAAGTCAGTCTACGAGGAGTTGATGGCCATTGTGTTAGCCATCAAGAAGTGGTGACCTTATTTGTTGGGTCCACATTTCCTTGTCAGGACGAACCAGCGGAGCCTGAAGTACTTGCTGGAGCAGAGGATGGTGACAGAGGAGCACCAGAGGTGGCTGTCAAAGTTATTGGGATATGACTTTGAAATTCAGTATAGGCCTGGGATAGAGAACAAGACGGCGAATGCCTTGTCCAGATGTATGGGGGAGCTCCAGGAAATGATAGTGTCGATATCATTGATGTTGGATTGGGAAGTTATTAACGAGGAAAGTGCACGAGATGAGGAGCTGGGGAGAATTTGGGCGGATTACTGAAGGATAAGAATAGCCATCCTAGCTATTCTCTAGAAGGGGAGAGACTATTGTACCAGGGGAGATTTGTGATGCCTAGGACATCTGTCCATATTCCACATCTAATGGAGTTCCATGGGGGTGCGGTTTGTGGGTCACTTGGGGGTGCAGAGTTGTATTGGAAATGGATGCACAAAGATGTAGAGTTGGTAGCCAGTTGTGTAGGCAGTTGTGAGATATGTCAGAGGAATAAGTATTTGGCCATGGCTCCAGGGGGATTACTTAACCCCTGTCTTTGTCTGATCGGGTGTTGGAGGAGGTCTCCATGAATTTTATAGACGGGCTACCCGATCTTAGGGATTTACAGTGATTCTAGTGGTAGTGGAGAGACTGAACAAGTATGCTCACTTTATACATAAGAAGCAATCATATTTAAAAAAATAACAGCTGTAAGAAAAAGGATGAGAAATGCCACCTGAAATAAGCATAAGATTGTCCTTTTTTATTACATGTAATTTTCTAAAATAAAAAAAAGCAAAATTGGGGTTATCTTTATGATGGGTCTAAAACCAGTCTTGTTCAACTCCTTTATAGCTTGAATTGACTCCTTGTGATTCGCTTGTGAGAAATTGGAACTTCTTGGGCTAATTTGGCTGAATAATCAACCGATACTGACAAAACTGTACCAACCCTGTCATTTTTTATCCTTTGCTCACCTTTTTACTTTTCAGCAAAACGATTGAAAGTTTTTAGTTTCTTGACTCGTAATTGTAGCATTTGTTTGTATTGTTTTACTTGTTATTAAGTTATTATTTTTTTTGTTTTAAGTGGAAAAAAATCATTGCTTTATAGTAAAAATAACGTGTTTGCTAATCTGCTGAATGCTCTCTGCATGTAATCTTACGTACTAACATCATGACGTTTACTCTCCTTTCAATTTTTATTTCTTAACTTGATAAGCACATGATTATCTTGCAGACAACAAAAAACTGCTGTTATTTCGCTTATTTAATTTTTTGAATTGCTATAAAAGTGAACTCAGAACTTAATAAATTCAAAAGTTTCTATTGTTGGTTACTGATTTACCATAATAAACATCGATTGAATTCGTTTTGCAAACTATATATGTCTATCCCTCCACTGTTCTTCATTTTCTTCTTAGCTTGTCCCTAAACATTTTTAGTGGTCTGTAAATGTTCTTGGTTCCTTGATTTCAGATGCACATCTACTTCCCGTGGAACTGCCAGAAATTGCCCCCTTGACTGGAAGGTGAAATCATTCTTCGTAATGTAGAATCCATTTTCTTATGTTCCTTCCATTGCCTTGAGATTTTAAAAAGCAAAAAAGAATGTGTGAGAAGTTTGGAACTGTTATCAACTTGCAGTTACAATAATGCAAAGGACTTTCTGACTATTTGAAATCATTATCACTGATTTTTCTGGATATCCGGCCATTGATTCTGTGCTTTGATAATGTCTGAATCTGATTGGAAGCTCATTTTTTATACTCATTTAGTTTGGTCATGGGCTATTTCTCTTTTGTTCGGGGGACAGTTTGAGGTCACTTTGGGGTGATACTGCCTTTTAAACAGTTGCTCTTGCGTCTAAAAACTCAAACTGATACCCGACCTCTTCAAAGATATTTAAGTCCCACTAGGACACTTTTAAGAGTAGAACCCAGAGTACTTGAATGGAGTGATGGAGGCCAGAAGTTTCATCCACCAGCAGTACTAAAGCTATACAAAAATAGGATAGAATCATATGTAAATTAAAAATTATTAAATGTTATAACAGGTTCATCCGGCCGGTTCAATTGAACGGGCCGGCACACCCTTTTTTATCCCGCGAACGGTGCGGTTCCCAAAACAGAAGGATTTCGAACAGAGGGAGCAGGTGGACGTCTGGGGTGGAACCAAACCCTTGCTTAGGAGGTTTCCGAAGACTTCGATTCATCATTTTTAGCAATCCATCATGTTTGGGGATAAGAATTAATGACTCCTTGTCATTCTTACTGTTAAAGAAGTGATAGATTTGGAAAAAATTTAACGAACGAGAGAAACGACCCAGGGAAAGAGGGAAGAAGGTTTGTTGGTTATTTATTTATTTATAAATTGTGTCATTTTACTTCATCTAAAGTAAAGAATAATTTCATAAAGGGGGAGAAAATGATTTGGAAGCACGGGGAAGAGATTTTTAGAGGGAAAGAGGAAGGTTTTAGGATTTGGAGAAAATCCCCTCGTTGTAAGTAAAATTTATTTTATATAAATTTTCTTAGATTTCTTATTAAAACATATTTGTTTTATGCAAATTATATTGTTTAATTTTATGAATTTTAGAAGAAAAATAAACCAAGATGTAGGATTCAACAAGAAAGGAAGTTGAGGCTGAGGTTTGTGATAAGGATCGATTTGAAAGATTGAAGTGGATAATTATAGTGGTGAAATTTTAATATTATTTATTTTCTTTCGAACATGTCATAGTATTTTATATCATAGTTTTGCTTCAAAAGTTTTACTCTTTTTTGGAAACTATCATGTGTGAAACATTGTAAGTTTAAATGAATAAATGAACATAGATATTATTACAACAAAAAATGAATGAATGAAATGATGTTGACCTCCATATAATACAACAACAACAACAACATCAAGCCTTTATCCCACTACGTGGGGTCGGCTACATGAATCCTTTTTCTCCATTGTGTCTTATTAAAGGGCAAATTCTCATTTAAATCTAATAAAGAAAGGTCATTCCTAATATTTTCTAACCAAGTCTTTTTAGGTCTGCCTCTACCTTTCTTAACATAAGTCAAATCTAATACCTCTACTCTCCTAACCGGGTCATTAGAAGGCCGCCGTTTTATGTGACCAAACCATCTAAGGCGACTCTCTCTAATCTTATCTTCTACTGGAGCTACTCCAACCTTTTCACGTATATGCTCATTTCGTATCCTATCTCTAAGGGTAAAGCCACTCATCCACCTAAGCATCCTCATCTCTGCCACACTTAACTTAGTATTATGCTTCTCTTTTAATGGCCAACATTCAGCACCATAAAGCATTGCAGGCCTCACTACCATCTTATAGAATTTTCCCTTAAGTTTGAGGGGTACTTTTCTATCACACAACAAGCCCGATGCATTCCTCCACTTCAACCATCAAACTTGAATTCTGCTGAAAATATCCCCATCTGTTGACCTCCATATAATACCCAAAGAAAAAATGAAACGAAATGTATACCTGCTGTAATCCGTCGGGTCCACGGATAATGCCGTAAATCCCGTTAAAACCACTATAGACGCGGCGTCGTTCGCGTCTGTTCCCGTAAATCCTGCGATCCGTAGCTCTACTCGTGTCGTTAAATCCCGACCAAAATGAAGCTCTCGGTGGCTCCCTCTACACACACGAACTCCAGCTCTCTCATCCAAAACCTCCTCTCCTCCGATTCTTTCTCCCGTCGCTGCTGCCCTTCTCCGATCCCACAAACCGCAAGCAACGAGCAGACCTCTTCTCTTTCTCGAAGCCAAACTCCACATTCGACAACTCCATCCCGCCGAACATCAAGCGCAAACCTCCGATCCTAGCCCTCAACCCGTCAAGCCTTTACCTGTGTCAGCTTCTCATCCGATCTAGAGAGACCGACCTACCTCCTTTGCTGGTCGACTCCGCCTCTTCGACGACTTCCCTCCTAGTCTGATCGAAGGCAACAACGGGAGCTCTTGCCGTGAAGGTTACTTCTCCCTTTCACGGATCTTTAGCCTAATCCTGTAAATCCGTCGCACTACAGGATTTGTAAATCCGGGATTTCTGGTAAATGAGGGAAACAAAGGATTATGCTAAATCCTCTCAAATCAATTATTATAATTATAATTAATCTTTTAATTATAATTAATTATAATTTATTAATTAATTATAATAATAATAAAATGTGTAAATACTTCCTCGCCTTGATCTGCATGCCAACATCTACAACCTCGCAAAGGTACGAATTTTCTAAACTCAGATTCTCGCTTCCGTTGTATACGGCGGACCGAAAAACCGCTCATACACACCTTTATTGCGCGTGGTGGGATGGGACCCTGGTCCGACGCCTACGACGAGGAGGGCAATCACCTAAACTCTACTTCGGCGTTCGTGGCGTACTGGAAAACCGCCTATACACGCCTTTATTGTGTGTGGTGGGATGAGACCCCGGTGCGGCACCTACGGCGAGGCGGAGTCATTCATAAGTACCCCCGAGCGGGGGGAAAGCAAATTGTGTCTTTAAACAGGTATTGAAGACTCCATGCACGCCTTTATTGCGCGTGGTGAGAGGAAAGATCACGGCCGTGGTGTCACCTACCATACACTCCTTTATTGCGCGTGGTGGGAAATGCCCAGTTTTTCGTAGTTTTCCCCTAAACGGGGAAGACATCGGGAGGCTGCCGAAATTTCGGGTGAACGTGAGATTGGACTTGGACTTGTATTTGAACATAACTTAAATGACTAATCAAAGAATATGAACTAATTTGAACTTGGATTTAAACTGATGGCAAAATAAAAATGAACTACATAAAACTTGCAATTTGAACAGTAGGGGACTCGAAAGGATGGAAGAGGCTCATTAAGAGCTTGAACTACACTTGAACTCAAGCATGAACAAAGGACTTAACATTAACTTGAACTTGGACTTAAATTCAAAAGAACAAATACATGGAACTTTAAACTTGAGCTTGAGTTCAAAAAGATTATTTGACCCTTGAACTTGCAAGCATTTGATTCAAATTCGAGCGAACTCAATGTGACTACATGGAATTTAGAACTTGAGCTTGATGTAGGAAGCATGAAAGCCTTGAATTTCTACTCAAACTCATTCTAGAAATCAAAATTGAGCCTACTTTGAACCTGCTTATGAGTTGAGTAGCATGGAACTTATTACACACAAAGGATAATAAATTGAAGAAGATAACTTGAGCATTGAATGAGCAACAACAATCCAAATACTATCATTGGTTGATAAGGATGTGTAATCTAAATTATAAATATATACACAAGAATACTTTAATGAATATTATAACTCATATGTGAAATATTTCACTCACAAGTGATAATGATGGATAACATGAAGCTGCCCATAAGTAATGAAAGATTTCATGATGCTTAGAATATGATGGCAGTTCAATATACAAGATCCACACAAGTTGTGTAGAAGCACCTTTGACCGACATCCATTGTCTTGCAAACATGTGTAGCAGTCCCTACAAGTACTTAAGGAGATGCAAGAAGATATAGTCAACATTGCGATGTCCCTACGATCAATATTAACTAACTGGTAAGGAAAATGACATTCCCTTACAAACAACTATGGGGTATATGTGAGCATGCATGAGCGATGATGATATACATCCAAATGAATATCATACAGTCCATATAAGGACGAGGATGATTGATGCATATGCTAATCATACAAACAAATGTATTTCCTTCTTATTGCTTTCAAAGGCAACATATAACTTGTCTTCAAATATGAATTTGCAAGATAATATGCCAAATTCTTCCGAGCAACGACAGAGATTCACAAATAGCGAAATAACCTATGAAGCTGTGAATGGTAAATGCTATGCCAATATCAAGTAATGATGGTAGGGAAGTCACAAATGAATGATGCAGTTACTTATGTATGTTGAAAGTCAACATACAACGAGCAGTATGCAGTGAATGTCGAATCCTCCCTACGACCAACTATGTGCATACATACAACTGAATACACCGATCTTTTGCAAGCAAAGACGAATAATACAAAATGAATGCAAGTGCCTTCGAGCAGCGGAAGAAGTTCTACCATACACATAACATGTCATCTACAAGAAGGGTACAAGGAGCCTACAACAAACACTTAGATATTTATACAAGTTTGTAATAAGGCAGCAACAAATACACTTATCCTCTACCAACAAAAGCAGAGGATGCATAACAAATGCCAAATAATTACAATGAATGCAAATATCAACGAACATAAAGCAGGAGATTCGTTAGTGCACTACAATCCACCTGCAGAAAGCAACGAGTAGTGCACGACAGTCTACCTGTACAAAGAAGCGAACAAGTCTATTCAAAAGCTGCTACGTCACACCACCGGATCCGCAACATTCATACAAACGGACAGAATGTGTCTACAAATACTTTCAAAATATCTCTGCATGTGCACCGTAGCTTGTTTACACATAGGTACACAAAGGGGTATGTCAAATCAATGAAATTCCCAAATACCCGCATAGGCCCCGACGAGCGTGTTATTGGTACATACGTGACGTCTAGGGATGTTGCGCGGGTTATTAAATTTGAATCCGATTCTTCTAAGCAGGTATAAAGAAGTAGACATGGTATAATTATAAAATGCCCCCAAACACCCGTATGGGCCCCGACGAGCGTGTTATAAGTATACACGTGACGTCTAGGGATGCTGCGCGGGTCAATAAGTGAATTCAAGTTCGAACCCGATCCTCATATGCGGATCAATAGGAGTCGACAGGGTTCGAACCTTCAAACAAATACATGGTTGTGGCAAACGGTGTATTTGTTTTAGTATATTCATATTAGGCCTTCAAGGCTTATGATCAAGAGAATTCACTCACAAGGGCATAAAGCCTACGAAACCCGATCTCCTATCGACAAGTTGATAGGGTCGACAAGGTTCAAGCTTTAAATGAAAATAATCTCGAACACCCTGATGATGGCCGTGTTGAATGCAAATCTCAACCGGAGGGGTTAATTCCAAGTATTCAAAATTCTTTTCAAATGCCACCCAAATACTACAATATCAAAAATTCCAAAATCCAAAAAAATATTTAAAATTGAAATTCAACCATCCAATCATTTAAAGCAAAATCCATCCACCATCCGCAATAGTTTGCCGAGGTGGATAAATTTAAATCAAAATTTACTTCAGCTCACATAGAGCTAAATGCCTAGTAGAAAATATCACTAGGATCTATTCTCAAACAATCTCCTACTAGTAAGAACGTGGTACGTGTCCTCTATCCGGTGGTTTTGCCGCCAAATAGCACCGCAGGATAAACAGTTATGACCCGGGGCCCTCTGAACCGAGTGGTTTTGTCGCCAAATGGCACCACGAAATATCGGTTATGATCAGAGCCAATACGTTCCTTAGTGGCATCAAATTCTTGAGATATGAATCAATAGGATATGATCGATAGGGCACAAAGCCCTCTGTTAGCTAAGGTGGATTTAAATTTGTCCCCTTAGACAAAAATTCACCCCAGGTCTACAAGGTACCCTTGGACGAAGCAACCCATGGCTGCCGATAAGGATCCTTCTGTTAGGTTGGGTCGACTACCTCCTCTGACTAAGTAGACCATGGATCATGATGGCCCGGGATGACGGAACCATGAGATCTTGATCGGGTCCATTATCCATTCCCCCACCATCCGCTTTAAATGAAAGATGGTGAAATTTTTATTTTAAATATCAAATTTCCAAATCCAAACCTTTTAAATTCCTACGCCCATTGCTGCTACTATACACCAGATAATACGTATCTCTACGTATCTGATTGACGACTAGCCTTAATCGAAAGTTCTCTCTCGTTATCGGGAGGGGTAATTAACTATAGGGGCTTGTGCCTATAGGAAACCAGAACTCAGATCATAAAGTCCTCGCAAAATGAGGGCGAAATCTCTGGGTAGTGTCTTATCTACAAACCCATATGCCTTCCCAAAATTTACCCCGGAACTTATTCCATTAAAACTCCCTCGCCAAAAGAAAAAAAATAATCAGTGCGGGCGGAGGCCAGGGCCGAATTTTCGGAGCCCACAGATTTCTGGCGACTCCACTGGGGATTGGTTTATCTTTTCATTTTTGGCTAGTCGTCTCAGTGTTCATACTCAAAATTTTGAGTCTTCCAAAATGATCATCTAATGGATCAAAGTCCTGAATATTCTAAAATGATCATTCAACAAATTCATATGACATTCAGCAGAGTTTTTTAAAAAACAAATTATTTTGCTTATGCTAATAATTTTTATTTTTGTGTTATGTGCAAGTCTCTGCATTTTGAAAGTGTGGGGTGATGTATCAGATTCTGATTACTAACCCTTGTCTTTCATTTATGCAGATGGATATACAGAACACCTCGATGACTGTCCAACTGGGAAGAGGAGCCAGGGTTCAGCTTGCGAATGCTATTATTGAAACTGAAAATACTGGGGCTACCATCCTGTTTGGTAAGGTTGATTTCCCTACTGTTGTTGCAAGAGCTTCCGGAGCTCCTACTCATCGCACGCATCTGCCGGCGCAGTGGCCCGCTACTGAAGCTCCTATTAGTCATGCGCATCTATCAGTGCTACAACCTACTGCTGAAAATCCTCGTGGGAGGGTTTCTGTATTCGAGAGGCTGTCACAGTCTGAAATCCTAGCCACCAAGAGGATTGTGGCTGATGGAATAATCTCTGTGGTGACTACAAACACCACACCCTTGTCAACCAGGTTATCTGCACCTGGGAAATATAATGCTGAAGCCTCCTCATAGAGGAAGGCTTACAAGAAGACAAAGGAGAAAAAAGAATGCTGAGCTACGAGCCCAACAACAACTACTGCCAGTGCACCCATCCAACCTACTGGCCCGAGAGCCAGAAGCCAATATTCCGACTGGGAACGGGTTCACAAACCTGAAATGGGTTAAGAGAAATAGCTCTACTGGAGAGCTAAAGAAATCTTTCTTGGATCAACGGCCTGAAGCTCCAATCCCTCCAAGGAAGAAAGAGCTTGAAACTCTATCAGCTTGGGTATACCGAGTCCTGAAGACCGTGAAGGAGAAGGGTCTGAAGGAAAAGAAGTTCCAACGGCCTTTGGTGATTGAGGCCAGGAGAACCCCGCCAAGAGAACGCCTATCTTTTGCGGCGAAAAGAAGAGAAAGAAAGCAAATCCCACGCGGTGAACATCGGGGCGTGACACCTGAACCATATGTTCAGGGATCCGCCGCCGAAAGGTCCCGATGGAAAGGAAAGCAAATTTGGAGGCCAAGGCCTCATGGAGAAGAAAGAAAAGAAAGAAGCACTTATATGAGCGTGACATCCGGTGAGGCTTCCCGGAGATCCGCCCGCATCTACAAAGAACATCAGAAATGGGTCCCAAAGAGGATCCACGATGACACTCGTCTTGTATATATACTTAATGGGTCCCAAAGAGGATCCGCCCGCATCGAGGTATTCAATTTAAGTTCATTAATATATACAATCATGAACATAATCATAAATAATTAAACAATTTTGCATAAACAATATAGAGTGAATAAATTGGAAATTCAAGTTATATAAAATTTAAAAAAGTATTACACATGTCCTGTTGTATTTAAAATACATATTATTAGAATCAATCTTATTTTTTATTTGTGTTTTTGATATTCTTAGTATTTGTAAATCCCATCTAGTTAATTTACAGTGAATAAACCTAAAAATTCACGCACTAGGCTAATTAACCTTAGAAATATAGACTTGCGCTTGTCTTCTTAAATTGAACTTGTATAGGTCTGTTCCAAATGGCAAGTGCTATTGGCTAGTAGTATAGAGGAATCAATCATCATCAGTCTTGTCGCGACCATTTGATTAATCTAAAAAATAACATTTAGAAAATCATTTGAAGACACTACAAAAAAATCTATCATCAGATTACTAATGAGCCAATATAGGTCATCTAGACTCATTGGGTTATGAAAAAGAAAAGGAACTTATCACAATAAATTCTGAAAGTATGCAGCAGTTAGGATATGAATCTAAAGGCATATTTGGTGCATGGAGCTCCTGGTATTGCATGGTTTGGGGCCTTTGAGGGTGGTTGATGTACTTTGCATTACGCTACATTTAAATAAAAGTTATTTTCGTGACTCAATTTTGGGACTTCCAAAATACACTATAGGCAACTTAACTATTGCTCCAAATCCACCGTCGACTTAGGATAATAATATATTTAAATAAAAAAGAGAAAATCTTATGAAGTTCTCCCTCTATGTGTAATTCTCATGACATGGCTCTCCCAAAATGCTTGTATTGATACTATCATAAGTAGTTTTTAATTAACACAATCATATTTCTAAAACTAGTTATTTTATTTGTTAGAAGAGAGAATTTTAAAGGACATCTTTATGGATTTATCATACTAATGCATGTACATTATGCATATATATTAGCAACAAAATAAAATAATTCCGGAAAATATACTATATGAGAATATCCTCAATAATGAGAAAATACTACAACAATAATATCAACAAGTACTCATGATAGTTTATATATAAGAAAAATATTATTCTTAATTTTAAAATAAATTAACTTCTTAGACATGCCTGAAAGTAAATTGAAATCATAAATGAAACTCCAAACATTATTTTCAATGTATTTGGATTTTGCCTGGTTTGAGCGAATTCTAAATACACCACGTGTGAAGTTTTGCCTCCCGCCACCGAACAAAGGCCCTGATTCAAGAGAGGCTTGCCAAATTGGTAATATCATCAGAGAGCAAATTTCACCTCTCTCCTCTCTCTCTCGTGATTTTGCTACTTACCAACTGCAATTTAGAGGGAATTGTCACACCCTGTGCCGACTTGCTTCCCAACAGTTGATGCAACATGCAACAAAGGAGAGACTAAAAATGATTTATCTTATTCAACATTACCTTTCAATAAGTTCCTGTCATTAAAATGCAACAGCACTATGAAAGGATATAATATCTGAAAACATAAATCATAAGCGTAAGCTGTCTATTCTTTCATTTCCAAGATTTTTATCTACAGAGCAACTACAGTAAAACTAAAATATATAACTATTAATAGAATATTGACCTCAATCCAAAACTTCCTTTATAATTCGACGTATAGTTCTATATGGCGAATTGCTTCATTCAATGAGTAGAAAACAATGACATCAAATTTAATGATTTTCGTCTAAGTTGAGATTTTGGGATATTATTTAATTAAGCCAAATTTGTACATTACCTTAGGAAATTTGGGTATTACAGGAATAGCTGGATGTGCATTGTGGCATGGCAGCAGGTCATGCTGTTGTCCCCAAACAAGCCCTTAGTGGTGAATTTTGGGTTTTCTTGAAGTTAAATGTTAAGCAAATTTTCACTTTAAACCTAAATGTTATGGAGGAAGTTGTGTAAAAAGGTAAAGTTATATTCTTCTTATTATTTATTCTCGCATGTTCATTACGTTAGAAATGATTTTCTTTCTTAGAGCTGCAGATTAACATGGCATTTATGTACAGCTGCGGCATTGAAAAAATAGCCTGGGATGCTTCAGGGGAGCGGTTGGCCTTGTCTTTCAGAGTCGGTGAAGAGATGTACAGGGGTCTCATTGCAGTATATGACATCAAGAGGACACCTCTTATTTCACCTTCTTTGGTGTTAGTATATCACATGCTAAAATAATTATGTTAATCTGTTTTCCTTTAATTGCTGACATAAGCCTTTGTTTAGTTTGCATGATCACGCCTACAGTTGTTTGCTAGTGATGATTAATCCAGAACTTCCTTTTATACAGTGGATTCATTAGAGGTCCTGGAGAGTACCCAAAGCCACTAGCATTTTCCTTTCACAGTAAATTCAAACAAGGACCTTTGCTTTCTGTGGTGGGACCCCAATCTATTTGATCTTCAAATTTCTTTATGAACTAGTCCCGATTTTGTTATTTGCCTAAATATATGCACTTGTGAAACATCTTAAGTTCAATAATCCTTTCTTATTACAGTGCTGGAGTAGCGGCTTATGCTGTACATATCCCCTCATTTTTCGCTCACATATACTTCCTTGAATGAAGGTACATTCTTTCCTCTTACTTCCCAAACAGCTAAGTGCATAAATGCAGTTAATTATTATTTTTATTTAGAATTAAGTCATCCCCTCTTGAAAGAGCTCGCGTTTTGAAAACTACAAGGTTCCAAAATAATAGACATATATGTAGCTTCTGGAGTTAAGATGAGGCGGTTAAAATGGAGAAATGCCCAAAAGAGTAATGGGCAAACAAAGGATTGTATAAAAAAAATTTATAGAAATATTGTAAGACTAGTTATACCATATGGATTTGGATGTTGGGTGATGACCAAATTGAGTGTAAAAAAATAGAATGTTAGGTTGAATTGATAAATTTCAGAATGATATATTAAGAAATGATTAAATATGAGGTACAATTGGACTAACACGTATTGGTGATAAGATCATGAGAAATTGACTTGTGTGATTTGGACATGTATAATGGATGGAAGAAGATGCACCACTAAGAAAAGTGATAAAGTTAATTTGAAATAACTTACAAGGAAAGATGATATACCAAAATTATTAAAGTTTGTATAAAAAAAGATTTGCGTATGTGGGATCCAAGAACTTCTGGTTTCTGGGAACTATAAAAGACTTTATGCATAAATTGATATTTAAATGTAATGAATCCCTCTAGTTTAGATTTATCTTTTTTACATCTATCATCAATAAGCAAGTGATTAATTGATAGAAATCTCAACACTAGTTTGTTTGAGGCTTATTCTCCATTTAGATTCAGTGAATTGTGGATGATAACGGTGATTATCCCCATCATCTACAAATAAAGACTTAGAGGATTTATATTTTGGTTTGGGACAATGATGGGGTTGGTGACCCCTTCTATTTTGATATGAATAACCATTCCATTATTAGTGAGGGGTAAGGACTTTAACCATTTATTTATTATAAGCAATAAACACACATATCTAATATCTAAATTATACAAATCACTATAAAATTGTCACAGGTATTGAAGCATTACATGTGTCATTTGGGTGTAAGAATCCCCTGCACTGAATCATAAAAATACGTAAGATTCCTTGCTTGACAATATCTATCACGACATAGCCCGAAGATTCAAATTAATGAGGTGGGAATAGACGGTCAGACAATTGATTAATTTTTTAATTTCTAAAACTATTACCAATAAACTAAAAGAGCCACTAAAAACCTCTAAAAATAATTTTACAATAATGATCGTTCCCTCGTAGCATCGCGCCTATGATACACATTCTCTGGTCTTCTACTCATTTTAAGATTTTGAATAATACTTGAAAATATTTTTCAATAATAAAACATATTAATATTATGTATGTATCATATCTTTATTTATATCTTTATCCTTTCTTGTAAATAATAAAACTATCATAGGAGTCACAGTCTAAAATAGTACCTTTGAAGGTACTCCTTTTCTATTTCCTTTTCATTTTCTATAAACTTTTTCATTTATGTGCACGGGTACATTGCATCCTTATTCAGTACTATAAGGGAGTGTATTTCATCAATTCAACATGCACATACAAGCATATCTATCTAGTCATTTCATTTATAATCTAACTTTATGTAAAACATAGCAGGCTAAATATCATCTAATTTAAAATGATTAATCATTTGATATGTGAAACATAAATAATTTGTAATGCAATTAAAAGAAGCAATAGGATAAATAATTTGTAATAACAATTTGATGTAATTAGAAGCAATGCAATTATTATAATATAGGAACATGAATATTCACCTTGATTTAAGGTATCGTGCCAGTTTACTCTTGATCCTTCGACGTTAATAAATTTAAGGCCTATATAAAGACATTGCCATTAAAATTTAATTAATGAATTGCTTTTAATTTCTTTAACTTGTTATTTTAAATTTCAAATTAAAATCTTAAATCATATTGATTAAAATCACTCTCACTCTCTCTAATTAACTAGTTAATTCACTAATTAAAATTGAATTAAAAAAGTATTTTCTTTATTATCATATTTGATATTTACTTTTACTTTAAAATTAATCATTAAATTTATTATTTACATAATTAAATTTCTTAATTAACATGCTCAATTAAAATCTATATTTTATTTAACTCTCTTAATTTCTCATTTTAAATATCAATTTATCTTATTTTATTATTAATTTTTAATTTAAATTTCTTCTATCTTTATTCAATTACTTAAGTATAATCTTATTTCTATTCCATTTATCCTTAGCTCATAAATTCATTATTCTTCCATTTATCCCTAAATATTTTCTCCTTAAGCATTTTAAAATTCATTTAAAATTATATTGTAATAAATTATTTTTATTAACTTTTGATAAAATATACTCCTATTTATAAATGTTAACCATAAATTTCCAATCCGCTTAACGAACTAACTTTGCTCGTGCTCGCCACTAACATGTTGATAAAAAGTGCTAAAAGTAACTAAGGTAAGAACATGCTTATCATAAATTAAATAATATCATTTAACAATATATATTTCATCACATTGATAGGAATAACTAAGAAGATCCTATTGTGTCGATAGTTAATGCTTTTACTCCTAAGTGCCTAATAACTTAGAACAATAGTTAAAGCCAAACAAATCCATGATAGTTTTAGAAACAAGGGATCATGCATGAAGAATTATTATGAACATCACATCAAGTGCAGTGATTACGTGATAGCTTTATAAAACATCGATACAAGCAAGGAAGCAAGCCCACACTTGTCCCTACCTGAATTAGGGATATGTTAAGTATATAGACTGTTCTATCAAAAAAATCAAACAAAGTAACCAATCACATAATAAAAAAGAACAATCATGTAGTATAGTATACAGTTGAATCTAAATAAGCAATATTTACGTACAACTTCAAACTGAGAGCTTGTGATACAGTACAATTAAAAAAAATGTTATCAAGTAGACTACGGTTTTGTTTGTGATGACTTTCTTACTGCTTTATAAAGCAACGTTTTAGTGTAAAAATTAAAAATTTTATATTAAAAAGCTGCTTTAAGAAGTAGAAAGAAAGTCGTCCCAAACGAAACCTACATCACTAAAAATATGCTCTAGCTGCCTCTTAAAAACTCTTAACATAAAACTTGATTAATCCATGCCACAACATTACAAAGTTTACTAGGAAACCAACTAAACCATTTTAACTATACAGTTAAACTCAATAACAATTACAACTAATAAACAAATAAACACACTTAATTAGGCATACATTGACCATCACATTTTACCAACATAATACCACACTGATAATGAGTCAAAGAAACGTGCACAATTTCTATCACATTTTAGCAACATAATATCACACTGATAATGAGTCAAAGAAGCGTGCACAATTTCTTCAAAATTTAAATTAGCATATGAAAAAAGAATCAAAATGGTCCATTGACTCTTGATGAAGGATCAAAATGATATCCAACTATATTAAAATATAATTTTGATCCTTCATATTCTTAAAAAGGACTCGTTTGGATAAAGTTTATGTAAAGACTATCCTATTTTCATAGCAGAATGTGGGATCAATTATCAACAGAAAAAGAAAAGCACTGAAGGAGGCCAAATTCTTGAAAGAATCAAAGTGTTGAAGCCCATTTATTCTTAAATAGAAATGATGACCTTAACAATTATCTATATAGATAATATATGTGGATTGAACCACCTCTATTAGAGCTTGGCGCACCTCGTGGCAGGACAAGTTGTCTCAAAATCTTCAAATTTAATTGTATGTTTGCCTGTTTACTGCTTCTCGAAGCAGCTTTAAAGCTGCTTTAAGAAGTTGTAAAAAAAAACAGTTCCAAACAAAACCTAAGACTCAAATGCGTTGAAAACTAATTAATCCTTTGCTCAACCAGCTTATTTGATGTTGCAGAGTCTTGCAAGTGGTGCTGAAGCTAGATGAAAGAAGATAACTGGTATATCTGAGTATAGCTCAAAAGCCATGGGACTTGAGCATGTAAAGGCTATTCCGAGAATCTCAGCTTCCAGCTCTGTTTAACTTCATTGTCTGTTCTTGCGATGATTTGGAGAGGAATGTGGTTTTCTTTCTGATCGGATAGTATTTCTATGGACTTCTGTATTTTCCATCTACTTGTTCAAGCAGGTCTCTTGAATTATTGAACTATCTGATGATGGCTTCAGGAGGGAGATAGAGCCAATTGTGTTTGGTAAGTTTAATATATAAAGGTGTAGTTCAATATGTAAGAACACTGGATGCTCGTTCATCTCGTTGTCTAATTTTACATGGATATTTTCAATATAAAAACGTATAGTTTCTTTTACCATGACATAATAAGAAAGAAAGAGGAAAAAAAAAAGCTCTACTTCAAGCATTATGTTTCATAAATTTTATTAAATCTTTTTTACATGTAATGATTTTTATTTCCCAAAAATAAATAAAAAATTATAAATTTTAAAACTTTTTTTTTTTTTCATTTTTTGTTCCAAAGCAACTAAACGAGCATTTAGGCGTCTTTTGGGATTTTATTATTATTATTTTTAAAATAATTTTTTTTTAGAACAAAAAAACTATTTTTGAAATTAATGAAAAAATTGTCTCGAATAAAATCATAGTATGTACAGTTAAATTTAAAAAAAAAAAAGAACGGATAAGATGTATATAAATTTATATCATAAAAATTAAAAAATTAGTATGAGATTAATAATGATGATGAGGCAAACTATTACTATAGAATATTAAGTGGGATAAAGGCTTGATGTTGTTGTTGTTAAAATCAATCATTGCAATCGAGCATAATAATTCTGAGAAGCAAATCTTCTAAGCATAGTATAATCGGCACAGACAAACATCATAAATACAAGAAGTGTGGTTTCTTGGGACAACACGGAAGAATGAGATTTGTTAACTGAGAAAATATCACTTAAAAATCATCTGTGCGCATAAGATGTCAATGTATATTTGTTAACTGAGGCCAAGTTCTTGAAAGAATCAAAGTGGAATATATATAATCTATGTTGAAGCCCGTTTATTCTTAAATAGAAATGAAGACCTTAACAATTATCTATATAGATAATATATGTGGATTGAACCACCTCTATTAGAGCTTGGCGCACATCGTGGCAGGACTAGTTGTCTCAAAATCTTCACATTTAATTGTATGTTAGCCTGTATTTATAATGCTTCGTTTGAGACAGTTTTTTTACTGCTTCTTGAAGCAGCTTTCTAGTACAAAAATTTTAAATTTTATATTAAAAAGCTGTTTCAAAAAACAGTAAAAAAAGTCGTCTCAAACAAAGCCTAAGACTCAAATGCTTTGATAACTAATTAATCCTGTGCTCAAACAAGCTTATTTGATGTTACAGAGTCTTGCAAGTGGCGCTGAAGGAAGCTAGATGAAAGAAGATAACTGGTATATCTGCGTATAGCTTGAAAGCCATGGGACTTGAGCATGTAAAGGCTATTCCGAGAATCTCAGCTTCCAGCTCTGTTTAACTTCATTGACTGTTCTTGCGATGATTTGGAGAGGATTATAGTTTTCTTTCTGATCGGATAGTATTTCTATGGACTTCTGTATTTTCCATTCCATCTACTTCTTCAAGCAGGTCTCTTGATTTATTGAACTATCTGATCATAACCTGATGGCTTCAGGAGGGAGATAGAGCCAATTGTGTTAGGTAAGTTTAATATATAAACGTGTAGTTCAATATGTAAGAACACTGGATGCTTGTTCATCTTGTCTAATTTTAAATGGATCTTTTCAGTATATAAACGTATAGTTTCTTTTACCATGACATAATAAGAAAGAAAGAGGAAAAAAAAAAGGTCTATTTCAAGCAATATGTTTCATAAATTTTATTAAATCTTTTTTAGATGTAATGATTTTAATTTCACAAAAATAAATAAAAAATTATAAATGTTCAAAATTTTTTTGTTCCTAAGTAACTAAATGAGCATTTAGGCTTCTTTTGGATGGAGATAAAAGTTAAATTTCCCTAATACATAACCTTACAAGTTTCCTATATAATAATTGATATGATAATTTTATTTGAAGAGCAATGCGTTATTAGGCTAGACCCGCAATGCTTTATGGTTCAAAATGTTGGATTTAAAGAAAAACATAAGATTAAGTTAAGTGTTGCATAGATGAGTATGCTTAGGCGGATGAGTTATTTTACTCTTAGAGATATGATACGAAATGAGCATATAAGTGAAAAGGTTGGAGTAGTTTCAGTAGAAGATAAGATTAGAGAGAGAGTCGCCTTAGATGTTTTGGTCATTAAAATGATGGCCTTTAGATAACTTAGTTAGGAAAGTAGTTGTATTAAATTTGACTTATGTTAAGAAAGATAGACGTAAAAAAATTTAGTTATAAAATATTAGAAATGATATTCTTTATTAGATTTAAATGAGAATTTAACTTTTAACACGACATAATGAAGAAAAAAGATTCATGTAGCCGACCTCAATGATGGGATAGACTTGATGTTGTTGTTATGTTACTTTGAAAAAAATCCAAATAGTAAAAAAAAATACTTGTTAGAGATCTATGTTGTAATTTGCTATACTAATATATTAAGTAAAAAAAGTATGATTAAGTTCAATTTTATTGATTAGTCATCACAATTTTATGAGATCAAGCATGAACATAAATACAAAATTTAGAATTTTAATTTTTTCGAGGAATAAATAATGTAAATATTTATTTAAACGTGAATATCATGGCTTCATTTAGATAATTTTTTACTGTTTTTAAAGTAATTTTAGTATAAAATTTTTTTATTAAAAATTTTCGTATAAAAAATTATTTTAGAAAGTTGAAAGAAATATGTCCAAGCCACAATAAGACATGTAAATTTAAATTCTTTTAATTAAATATGAAAATATAAATATTAATAAAAGCAACGCAGTTAAAATTTGGATCAATCTATAGGGTTTTTTACATCCATACAACTTTATAACATCTATTTTACATATTTAACACCCTAAACATTAATATTCCATTTTTACCCTCAACACAATTCTATCATCAGATATACCACTTCATCCATACCGCCGCTCACGATGTTATCCATTTCTCGCGACCTGTAACTAGAGGTATCGAAATCCCCCATCCAGCGAGTCTTCCCTTCCCCGGCTACACTCCATCTGTTCCGTTCCGATCCCTAGGTCGAACATCTCCAGGGTTACCTCGGAGCAGAAGGCGTTTACCTTGTGTGGTCGGATTGCTCCACATTTGTTTCCCCTTTGTGAATTTTGTGACCTAAGTCACTGCCGAAGGTAAAGTTCTTCAGATTGCTCGGCCTGTGCCGAAGTTTTCTTACCTGATGATAGAATTGTGTTGAGGTGGTAAAAATGAAATGTTAATATTTAGGTTATTAAATATGTAAAATAGATGTTATAAAGTGGTACGGATGTAAAAACCTTAAAATATATATAGCGTAGGCAGACTGACGGGAGCGAATTCTGAAGCAGGGTGAAGTGCGTGATAATGGCGTGGGAGAGCGATCCGGAGGACTTCTCACCGGCGGCCACCATCGTACCGTTCGATCCGCCACTTCCCCTTCTGAGAGGGCCCGTGAACGCCGCGCCGGGGGATGACCCCTCGTCTGGATCCTTCGTCCTCGCCTTCAGGGACGCCGCGAGCTGGCGTTCAGCATATCGGGCCACGGAGTCCAAGATTGTAGAGCAGTGTAAGGTATTCATCTTTCGGTCTCGCTCCAATTCGTTCTTTGTGCGTTGTTTATGGACAATTAAATCGCCTTTTTTCTTAAAACCCTAATTTTTTGAATTTTGGTTGGATGGTTTTATGTTGAGGGTTTGGAGCCAAACAATAAACTCGTTGTCGTTTTCCTCTGCGTAGGCAGCTTGACAGTGTGCGCATGCTTCTCTTTTGTTTTAACGAATGGCTAAAATGTGGACTTTTGAGTTGCTGGAGTAACATAAAATTTGCGAGGTCGCATTTTTTTCAGATCTCATATGGTTTCTTTGCTTTAAAGCGTCTATAAGTTTGTTTGATATGGGCACATTTGTCTGGTTTGATTTATTTTAGAACTTGGTCTTTTGATATAATTACTAGAAATGTGATAATTTCTAGGTATTTTAAAGTTTCTATGAGTGGATTTTGTTTGAAGGCATTTGTTATTGCAGCTGGCCGAGCTGACTGGCTTTAGTATTGCCAGGCAGTAAGTTAAAACAGTTGCATAAAGTGAACGAGGAGCACAAAACCAGCTCTTGGCTGCAGAGTTTTGGCAGGTTTGATAGAAAGTGGCTCAAAGTACATTTGAGTAGCTTAATTTAGGTTGTGTGCCCATTTTATGCCAACTTAAATCCTAGACTGTAACAAATCGCTATTATAGCCCTTTTCACCTTTAATTGGTGTGGCAATTCCTAACTTCAATTAGGCTTTCTTTTTGGCATCCCATGCTATTTTTGCTATTTTCCTTTCATTAATGTAGATAATTCAGTTTTGTTGAAGGCAAGTTGAATGCTTCCATAGGTTCCTAGATGAGGTGAGGCTAGAGAACCTCTAAATCCACGTTGAAAATTACCTTCACTAAACTGTTATCTAAGTGAATGGATAGCTTTGACGTGCTAGATAGTGGGGCATTTTAGAGGTGGTTGTTAATGCTTTAGAAAGGAAGAAGAATTTGTTTTTGATGATGACAATATGCATGGGCTGATATGAAAAGAACATCTGGAATTAGCCAAATAACGATGCATGCTAAAAAATGAGTTTGATCAAATGTAAGTGCAAGAGCTTCAATATATTAAGTGGTAATTACTGAGGATGAAGATGATGAATCTTAGGAGATTGTAAGGGACAAAGGGTTACGAAGTAATGATTAAGATTAGGCAACGATGATAATAAAGATGGAGTAGATAGTTAAGCCTTTTAGATTATCCCTGATAGAAATGATTTAAATTAAAGTAGTTTAACTATTTAAGGTATTGTTTGATAATGTCATTAAAGTTTCTGATTTATGATAATATATTTAGCAATTTTGTCCAGCTTGCAACAAAACATGAAAAATTATTATTTTCCTTACATAGTTGAATGTTATGACTTCCATTTTATTACCTTTGACAACATTTCTCATATAAAATAATATTATTAAATGAATTAACTATTTCATTTTAACGCCTCATTTCATTTTTACAAGTTTCTAAAATGTCAAGTTTGTGTAGTCATATTGCCTAAGGGTGCCTGGTGCCTTAGATTAACACTAGATCGTAGTTTTTTTTGTTTCAAGGAAATGCTCAACCGGACCATACAATCATGCAATAGGATATCGGCTAGGGTACTGTGCGTTACTGCTGATTTTATGTTCTGATCTTTTTTCTCTTTCAATTTACCGAAATAGTTCACATATGCAATGAGAGTCTTTTTATTCACGTAGATTTTTGGGCACATTGATTTCTTTAGAATTGTGTCATTATTATTGTTAATCTGTAGATGATGCTCAAAGGCAATATTAATAAAAAATGGTCCTTTAAGAGTTAGACATCATGTTCATAGAGTAATGTGATCAGCATGTCCTTGTAATCATCAATGTTTTGTTTTACCTTCACTGCAGCATGTCTTAATGAATAGTGCTTTTACTGCCAAATATTAGACTACGCATTTGTGAAGATAAAATTTTGGGGGATTGAAATGCATGCCACAAATTTTTTTATGTATTGACATATTTAATTCTTAAATACTTTTATTTATTTATAGAACATCTTAGTGTCTAAATCATATCGAAATATATGCATGAAGAAAGATATTTTACTCTAGATAGATTAATGTCAGTGGCATTCTTGATGCGATTTAGAAATTCTAGTGTTATATAAGTAAATATAAAAATTTAGATGCTAGATATAAAAAAATATAAGAATTAAGTGGTATATATATAATCCCCTAAAACTTAATGTTTAGATTTTGTTTGGAAAACCAGTTATTGCTGGAAAAGTATATTGAAAACTGAAAAATCCCTCTTTAAAAAATTGCTTGTGGTCTCATTTGGTAATGCTGTTTAGCAGCTTTGCTTTTCAAAATCCTAACTATGGCCCTTGATTTGTGTAAAAAAAAAAGAAGTGTAAAAACCATGCACAACACATTTATAGAGCAAATTGCCATCTTTGTAAAAATGATCCCGTCTTAATTTTGTAACAAATAGCACAACGTAGATTCTACACAACATTACCTAGCGAGCCTAAGGTGAAGTTGTTTCTACCGTTGAGCTGTTATTTATCAGTCAGTGTGTCTTTTAGGTGTTTGTTTGCGATGCCATATATTTTGTCTGAGAACGTTGGATTAAAATGGTCATTTGTTATATCAATTCATGATAAATATTATCTGAGTTTGTCCTCAGATGCTTTTTAAAAAATGCTAGAAATAATGGCATAATAAAAAAAGTTGTGTTTTAGGATGAAATAGGATGTCATGTGATAATATGATCAATCAGTTGTCTATCACACATTACTATAACAAGGAAAATCAGCACTAAAATCAAAAGCCGATTATACACGACACCCTTATAGTAGTTTATTGAAAAGAGCCTTTAAAAAAGCAAAAACTTTGAATGTTGTTGTACCTATTTGCATATTAATTAAAAAAAGTTAATTAGAATGCAAGTTAGGAGAATGCAACATATAATGATGCTTTATGTAAATGTCAGTAACATCATATATGTAAGAAATAGAGGGCAAGTTTAGGTTTTTATTTTATGGACTTATTATCTTTGTGGTTTTATTTGCCTGATGTTTGCTTATTAATCAACTTAACAGCCCCAGAACAGCCTCTATACAGAAGGGAAGGGAAGCCAACAAAACGTATTTTGGTTTTATGGATGTTGAAATAGAAATATGAATATAACTTGACAAAAGTATTATGGGCATGTAGGTAAAATGTTTATTTTGAAAGGTAAAGCTCTGACCATTCCACGACCATTCCATTCCTCTGGAAAGGGAGGATCAGTAACCATGTCATAAATGACTAAGTTTGTGAAAACCCGAAAAATGTCATTTTAGACATCGCACACTTTAGCGCCGCGACGAGTTTTAAGTGAAAAATTCAATATTGTCGGATTTCGATGGAAATAATTTTGAAAAATTCTACGCAAAATTCTAAGAAATTTGATATCTAAAACTTGTATTTAATTTTGCTTAATTTAGGAATTAAAATTCATATAAGTTTCATAATACCAATAATAGCCTTAAAGGTTATTATTGCTTGGAATGTTTAAGTGAGGGTAAAATGGTCAATTGCAAAATCCCTAAACCACCAAAGCTTTAAGGGACCGAATTTTATTCGGTCCTTCGGCCCCTCATTCGATCCGTGCAGCCGAAACCGAAAGAAGGCGCACGGAAGGGAGAGAGCGGACGCACGCAAGGCGACGGGCGGCGGCTCCGACGACTTCTCCGGCGAGATTCTTGGAAGGGATTTGTAGGAGAAAGCCTAAGGAACATTAAGGTGCATTTCTAAACTTAGAAATCTTTGTTTGCCATAGATTTTTGAGATTTTAGGGTATTGTGGAATCATGGAAATTTCTTTAAGGAATTAAGAGGGAAGATCTATGAAACGATTTCATACTTGAGAATGTGCTTTTCTCTAAGGATTTTTAGGGTTTCTAAAATTTGGGTTTTTCTAAAATGTTGCTTTTTAGAAAATCTCTTAACAAAGTTTGTTCCTAAGGGTTGTGGGAGTATTCTAATGATGAAATTTTGACATTTTTCATAAAATATTAATTTTTATAATTTTAGTTTAATTTAAATCCGAAAATATATTAATTTAATTATGAATTAGGTGTAGGAGAGAGTTTGACATGTTTATGTGAGGGAATTAATAAAAATAGGTTTTCCAAAATTAGGATATTAGGAAAATTCAAAAATAGAATTATTTTAAATTAATTTAAATTATGGAGAAAGTGTTATTTTGATTAATATTAAGTAATTACACAAAACTATGAATTTTTAAAATATGTATAATTGATTTAAGTTTTAAGTGAGAGAGAGAGAGTGAGGGGGAGAGAGAAGTTAGGGTGATTTAGAATGATAAGGAGAATGCTATTTTGATTTATTTTGTAGATTTAAAAAAAATGAAAAATTGATACTTATAGGTGATTAATCGTGGTGAAATCGAAGGAAGGACTAGCAGGAGAAATCGGATTCCAAACTTCTGTAAGTATTCATAGTTCTTTAATTACAGTAATATCTCTTATTTTCTCACATGTTATATAATTTGATAGCCCCAATCTTAATTCTTTACTCGTATCAAATGAATGATTATGCAAATTACATGTACATTTTATGGCCTTACTTGATAAAATTTATGTTATATGAAATGAATTGATATGAAATGATATGAATGTTATATTGAATGCTTTTATGTGTATGCTAAAAGGATGGAGTTCACCCCCTTATGGTACTAGCTGGGGACGCTGTACTCATGCACGTTAATATGATAAAGGATATGAAAAAGGAAAATGGTAAAGGAGTACCTTTATGGTACTAGACGGTGACTCATGTGATGGTTGTATTATATACGAAAAGAGAAAGCTAAGTATAATGATATGAATATGGAAATGAAATGAAAAATATGGCTTCATGTTATGATATGTTTAATGTTATGTTAGTATAAAATCATTTTATGTTATGTTCATATGAAATTGACATCCAGCATATTACATAGTTGCCTTGTTTACTGTAGTTTAG